CTCCCCCCCCCCCCCCCCCCCCCGCACTTTACCCACCTACCCTCCCCCGGCCAAAAAAACAAAGGCACAGCAATCTCCACCCGGAGGAAACTCCTCAAGCCATACCCGTCCACGCGGCGCGCGGCGTGTGAATGACTGACTGACTGATTGACTGACTGACTGACTTAGCCTCTAACAGGGCAAGAGGGACATATGACAGAGTCGAAGTATTCCGAGTCTGTTTCACTCTACGAGGGAAGAAACGTGTAGATCGAATGTGTAGATCGAATGAAGGAGATTTTTTGCTCCAAGTGCTTCAGGTTACGATAGGAGAGGTCTCTTGTGAAGGTTGAACTGGCCGCTTGTCAGACTGCCGAGCTGCTTGGCTTGCATTTGACTTATATGGTGTTCCTTGTGTGCCAGGGCACACACGAAAAGCTGACTCGATGAGGGTTGGGGTGGGCAGCTGGTTTGTGAGCAGTGGCAGTGCATCGTCGGACTGTGTTGGTTGCTTCGATGCTGGTCCAGCCACCGCCAAGGTTGGATGATTTCGGAGCATTGTGCGCAGCGCTCAGGGGGCCTGTCAATCTCTTGCGAGCTTCTTGCACGAGCATGGAGGCCCAGATGTGGAGCCTGGAGCTCCGAATCTTTCCGTGTCCGAGGCAGCTGTCATCCAACTGTGCTGTACCTGTGCTGCACAGTAGTACAAGTGCTGACTTCTTAATGTTGGCATGATTGCTCAGCTGTTGTAGTTGTAGACACAAGTTCGTTTCCTGCTGCAGAATGGCACATGTGCTGTGTGTACTGGAGCAGGAACGTTCACCACTGCTGGCAGAGATGATCTTGGACGTCTTGCCACAGGTGTTGTTTTGGGGATCTATCTTAACCAACTCTGCTCGTCGTTGGCTTGTCCACGTCTCTATCCGTGTCGACGGCATTCAGCAACATTCAGCAACACAGCATCTTCAGAGTTCTTGACGGTCAGAGCCCCCGCGATCTCGCAGTGATCCTGCGCAGGTTCGCTCTTCGGGTGCTCGCGTAGCATGTGTTGCTACAATGCACGACGATGCATCGGTGCATCGGATGCTGCTTGGACATGTTTCAGCAAAAGCTCACACGGTTTTGGATACATGCATACATGCTGCATACCCATGCCCCAAGCCGTTGTCGGTTTTCGCTTTAGCCGCTCAAGACTCTGCCGCCTGTTTGCAATGCCAGTATCTGATGCCCCTGATGTCAGCTGATGTGCTAGAAAGTGCTGTCGAGGTGATCACACGTGGCCCAACCAAAGTTGTGCTGCATGTGTGTCGGTCGACAGCAACTTGCCAGCGGTCCAAATCATGAATGGTTTCATCAAGCATCATGATCGAAGCACAAATCCACCAATCAGGCTGGAAGGAGCCGAATCAAAACAGCGACCAACAACGGACGAGAATAAAAAGGAAAAAGGTACAACTTTCAGGGCCCTCCAGTCCACAAGACTAGAATCAAGGAATGGCGGGCAGCAGCATGGCATGTCGGCAGCAAAGGGTGAAGGCGACCGGGAGGACCACGATGCGGTGTGCATCCCCTGCCTCGCGTTCTCCCGAAACATGAACCCTTCAAGCGAGGAAAGCACAACACACCCTGCATGAAGGGCCTCTACCACCCTGTAGACCCTCAAGCGAGGAAGGCAGAACAAGCCCTAAATGAAGGGTAGAGGAAACCCTGAAGTTTTGTCCCGACAATGAAGCCCTGAACTTCTCCAGAAATCTAAGCCCTCAAGTGGAACATTTCTAGCTCCAATCCTTGTCCTGGGAGAATGATGCATGAGGCATGACACATGACAGTACAGGTGTTGGGTATTCTTTACAAACTATCACCCAGTGACATTTTGGCAAACTAAGCATCCGGCTTGGACAGTTTGAGAAAAAATCAGAGTATGGTTTGGTTTGTTTCAGAAGTCCGGGATCATTCAGGCATGAGCATTCCAGCAAAAAGTCGCACAACATGCCTCGTAACTTTCACTTCCGGATATGTTGTATCCTGCTTCAATTACGTAGCTTTTAATTTTTGACAAAAATGGCTTTGGCCTCTAAACCCCCGTAGACACAGACTTCGAAGTGCTAAACTGATTGTCTTTCGTGTTCAGGAGTGAACTCCAGGATCCAACCCCCAAAACAAGCAGCCCAATCAGTTCATTTAGGTCGTCTAATTATGACATCTTGATCTCTTCAATTGCCAGTTTGTGGAGCAGCTGTCTCAATCACCTTCGGTCGATTGCGGAAATCTGGGTTGAATTTCAGACAAGAGCAGCGCAGGGCGAAGTGCGCCACAGTTGGCAAATCTTTTTTGAGTTATTTTTCCACCTGCAGTTCTTCGTCAGGAAGGGCACCGCTCAGCTCCAAACCCGAGCAGCGCTTCGAGGGAAACTCCAACGTCTTGGGGTCGGAGCCTTCCTTATGTAGGGCGACAAGTGATGCTTAAAGTTTGATGAACGGCAAACCGAGGAGTGGGAGACTTAGATCGAATTCGATGCGCACGACTGTACCAAGACAAACCCTGACATTTCGCTGCACAAGTTCCTGCGCCGGTTCTCACGAACACACGAAATCTGTGCGTGCACGCCCTTGTGCTGTGCACACGCTGACTTGAAGCTACCTCAAAACAGTTAAAAAGTATCAAGCTTGATACGAGCGACGCCGCCGGAGGGTTCGGAGAGATTCGGAGAGAAAAGGCTCTGGACGTGGCCAGCCTTGGAGCACAAGGTTCTGCCCATGTTCGCGGCGGCCCTAGATGTTACGGAGCGCGAGATGCGTGAGTGCGAGGTCATGCTTCGGCAGCCCCAGCTGAAGGAGCGCATCTTGTCGTTTCGCACGACTACAACATGATATCTGTGAGGAGCGGCCCGAGATTCTGCAGGCCCTCTGCCACCACAAGGACCCGCGGGACAGGCAGGGAGACAGAGCTTCTTGAAATTTTCTGGCTGCATGCAGGTTGCAGATGGATGGGAGGTGCCCCTGCTCGCTGAGACTGTTGATCTCCCTCACAGCATACTTGCTCCCAGGTCGACGAGGCCTCGGTGCTGTCAGCGTCTAGACGGATCGTACCTTCTTACCCTTCCTGGAATTTTCTGGATATCTCGGCCTTGCTTCCTGCTCTTCCAGCGCCCAACTTGAAGTCCACCCTACAGCCTGATCCTAATACCCTATATAACCCTTATATACCCCTTATATAGTCTCATAAAGCCCCTATGTAACCCCAAGGTGGGGTCTTAGACCATTTTGGGCCCATGACCAGGCCTTGCTTTCAGAAGGCGCAATGGACGACTGGGCTGGACGTTTCCATCTGAGCTGAAAGGACAAGTTGCATGTATATACCGCCACACGGATTGTGGAAACTTCGCGCGGGTAGGCACTCTCAAAACAGCCTCTAAGAATGGGGCTGAGTGGCTGAGGCATTGACGGCTTCAGCGTTGCAGATCTCGCCAGCGTGGTGGAGCGGGCTTGCGTCGAGGTTTTTGGTAAACATTACCCTAAACCCTAAACCCTAAAACCCTAAAACCCTAAACCCTAAAACCCTAAAACCCTAAAACCCTAAACCCTAAACCCTAAAGATTCTTTTCAGTGACGTTTTCGCCGCCGAAGTCCCGTGGAGGCCACAGTCGATGCCAGTGCTGGCAGGCTTCGAGGAGGAGACTCACGCCTGCCCGAGTCAGAGCACCAAGATTTGGTCTATTATAGTATATTAGAGTATATTATAGCATATTGTAGTATATGATAGTACATTATAGCATATTGTAGTATATTACTCTAGTATTCCGCGCCGCATTCCAAGAGATCAAAAGGCGCATGCTTCTTGCGAGGTGGGGCGACCGCCAGCGCATGTCCATGCAGCATCTCGCCAAAGCTTGCGAGGTACAAGAGCCTGCTTGGCGTGCGTACGGGATCCAGTCATGTCAGATGTCCTCCAAAGCGACTGGGAGGATTATGTGCCAGCTGCCATGGCTGACCAGAGCTTCTTCACATCGGACTGGTACGTTTGAGTCCTCAGTAGTGTGACGGACAAACATGCTTGTCGTGCTTGCAGGACATAGGCCTAAAGGACATTGGAGGTCTGGCCGATGTGAAGCAGGACCGTGCACCATCGCTTCGAGTGAATCGGCGTCACCTGACACCACCAGGAACTGATGGACATGCTTACCATGCCCACAAGGCAACAAGGTAGAACCCAAGACTAGTTACGCCTGCCTTTGCCGTGCCCCCAGGTATGCCGTTCTTCTTGACCGCGCCCCTGTTCGAACGAGAAAGGTGGGCCGAAAGAGTGCGAGTCGGTGCTGATCGTTTTGCCAACATCTGCAGGGCCTGATGCTGGTGGGCCCTCCTGGTTGTGGCAAGACGATGCTGATTCAGGCTCGATGCCGCCCCCGAGGGCACAGACTGGAAGCTACAGCACGCTCCAACTCCTGGATACCAGGAACAGGTGTAGCAGGAAACGGGGCCGTGCCCATGCAACCAGGGACCATTGGAGGCTCAGGAGAACCGCAATACGATAGCCAGGCTCTATCGGGTCAGGGTGTAAGCAGTACACTTGGGGGTTGTCAGAGTTTAGTTTTCAAAGGGAAGATTTTCTGCCTAGGGGTGCCTTCGGGGTTTGAGGTAGGCTGCCAATCACTACTTGACTACCCGCCCATGACTTTTGTTTGGGTTTTGCACCCAAGCTTCCCACTCCACTGAAATTCGCACATCCCCAATTCTTTCCGGTACCTGTCACTCCTTCGTTGCCGGGGCTTGCTACTCGGCTTGCATTCTTCTGTAAGGCGTTTGGAATTGATTCCAAACGCTTCGTTGTTTGCAATTTCCATTGTCTTTTGGTTTTTGCAGCGTGAGCTTTGCGACCCGTAATTCTTTGGCAGGCTCAAGTTTTGTCAATCGGTTCGGTGCCCATCTGTACCTTTAGAGTTGACGGCTGTTATGTGATTGTTCGAGTTCGGCCTGTCACTTCGAGGACAATTAAGGTTCGAGGCTGGCTACCCTTGTTTCTCTAGGGTTGTTGTGCTACATATCCTTTGGTTACATTGAAGAAGTGCCTTCAGAGCCAAGGTCTTTGTATCCTTCTTGCAACGGTGCAGAATTGAGTGTTGACGTCTAGCGAAGCAGGATATCATGAGAGGATCCTGATCTGGCAGGCCGCCGCCTCCGAAACCAAGGGCCTTCTGAGGCTTTGGGCAACGCATCTGCTTCTACGATTCTACAGTTCGGTCTGATTCCGGCGCTGCGCCAGGTTCTTGTCAGTGAAAGGCCCCGAGCTTCTCTCCAAGTATATTGGAGAGTCAGAGGCCGGTGTACGGAAGGCACGCCTGGGGTACATGGAGGAGAGAACTCTGCAGCATCCTGTGTTCTCAGGTGTTCGAGCGGGCTGCAGCAGCAGCTCCGGCCGTGATTTTTTTTGATGAAATCGAGGCCTCCTGAGCTTCAGCTGGTGGCTTTGTACTTGGCAGCACTGGCCCGGCAGGCCTTGGCGCCAAAGCGGGGAGGTGCGAAAAGACACGCAGAGAGGGTTCCAGCATTGCAATTTGTTGCATTTTGCACGTTCCCTGGCCAGCTGACTCGACGGGGGTGACGGATCGAGTTGTCAACCAGATGCTTTGTTACTTGGATGGGGTGCGACGACTCGGAATTGAGACTTCAAGCTAGGGTCATTGTAGGTTCTCTGTGTCGTGGATGCCCAGGTAGAGGACCGAGGTCGGGTCTTCGTCGCCAGAAGCTTTGCAGAATGCTAACTGTATTGCACACGAGGAATCTGAGTTGCACTCGAGGTTGCTGCGACGGGACGGCCGGACATGGTTGATCCGGCTCTTATGCGACCGGGGCGCTTCGACAAGATTTGCTACTGCGGCCTGAGCCCAAACCACTCAGCATGTCGTAAACAGGGCAGAGCCTGTGTGTGGGCGGGTGGTACAGGACAAGGCATGGCAAGACATGGTACAGAAACTCCATGCGAGTTAATGGCAACCACATCGCAGCTGAAAAGTGTGAGGTCTCCCGTCAGATTCTGAAAGGCTCGCCATATGCGAAATTCTCGCAAGGCACTTTCGCTGTTTGAATGACATGCTTTTTTACAATCCGTGGCGCCGAGAGACGAGGGCTTGCAAGTTGTCCGCACGCGCCATGCAACCCGCGCCTGCGATCTCGGCTAGGAAGAACAACCTGGTGCCGGAGCAAAGCCACAGCCCACCAACACAGGGCGGGAGTAGTTTGACGGCCCGTGGCTCAGATTGCAAAGGAATCTCCTGCGATCTTTTGCCAGGTGTGTTAACTGACATAAAGCTGGCAGCTTCATGATCTTTCTGCATCAACCGTCCAGCATGTTCCTGTTTGCAGCGCCTTTGGCTCGGGATCTCAATGACAGCGAACCTATCGATTCAAGCTTACAAAAAGCTGAAGCTAGAGGCATATGCGCAGACTTCTGAAGCGGTTTCTTCTCGAACGTCGGCGGGTCATGTCCCCAAAGAAGCGGCCGAGCTGGGCTGACCAAGGCTTCGTTGAAATCTGCTGTCAGTCTTTGGCCCTTGGCTGGTTGTTTGGGTGCCTGAACGCTAAGGTCCCTCCTCGTCATCGCAGAGCCGTGTGTCGACCGATTCGCAGGTCTCCGCTTCCGGCGCATCCGGTCATTCCGGCCATGCCGAGCCGGCCGAGGCCTGCAGTGGGAAGCAGCCGTTTCGTTTTTTTTGGAGGTTTTCGGCTATAGTACTGTGGGGCCTTGTGGGACAACGAGATGGGGAGGGGGAGTTGAAGTGCCAAACGGTCTTGGGGATGCTATTTTGTAACACGGGATGTAATTCTGGAATTAAGTAGAGTCTATTTATGTTGTCTTGCATAGCTTGGGTGAATGTATCCCGACGGGATCTTCCGTGCTGTCTTCGTGCATTATACAAATTATACGCATTCTCTGTTGTCAAAGCCCAATCTTCCGTGAAGGTTGAAACTCTAAAGCTGGCTCCAAACCTGAATGGCAAAATGATGGATGACTTTCAGACATAACGTGCGAAGACACAGAACCGGCTGATCGGTCCGTCAATTTGCAGCGCACAACTCACGTGCCTGCATGTCCGAATATTTTCCATCGTTGTCCCTTCCGGACGGCTTCCATTATTCTATGTCGTGGTCTTTGCAAAGCTTTTCCGCAGAGCAACCTGTCGGGCCGGTTGTCCGCAACCGGAGAGTGCGGCGGTTGCATTATGTACAATGAAAATGCGACGAGATTGACTCAAAGATGTAACAGGTGAGGAGGAAGCATGAGTGTTCAAAAAGCAGGAAGGAGGGAACACAGCTTGCAACACTTCGAATCTAGGGTCTATCGAGTAGGTTGGACCGCTGCATTTTGTGACTCAGATTGCCGAATCAGGAAGTTGTGTCCCATGATGTGGACAAGCAAGCCGCGATGCGGACGCCTTCGGCACAAGGACAGCTTTCGGCATTCAGTCAGCTTTGGACATGTGTCACTGAGCGCTCTTTGCGCTGTTCTTAGACCCTGTAAGAACGGCGAGCGCTCCGCCGCAGATCCGGGCGTGTAGCCCAAGTTGCAAAGCGGCAGGCCCGGATTCAGAAGGTCTGCGAGGATTGTGGCCGGTCTCTGTTGGAGATGCCAGCGCCACCGGACATCAACTTGTCACGGCGTGATTGGAACATACAGTTCGGGGCCTGGCTCCTGGGCCTGAAGTAGCAGGTAAAAAGGGGACCCTGACAACACCCACCCCATCTGACAACATCAAGATCTTCTTCTGATCCTTAGACGCCGTAGACAGGTCTATCCGACTATCTCAACAGCCACCTCATCTCTGCCATCGCTCAGAATAGTCAAGGTTCCTTCGGAACAAACTAGAACGGTCGATAAGCAACGGTTAGCTTCCTTCGGTGGCAGGACGGCACATTCCAACCCCGCTCCTCTGTACAGCCCCACTGAGTTCGAACCGTGCCCCAAGTTGAGCCAGGATCCACGTTGTGGTTGGGGTAGTTGTGTGAAAGTATGAAATATGGGGGGCAGGTACACGGGGTAAGGTCGGAAGAAGCTGATCCTTCTGGGATTTTGTTGGAGCCGAAGTCCACCAAGGAAGCAGCGCCAGCGTCGACTGTCCCTCGGCAAGGGCTCAAGCAAAGGCAAGCTTCAAGGACATTCCGAGTTGAGAAGAGCTGCATGTCGTCCCTGGCAGGCCAGAAGGGCAAGCATGGCAAGAAGGGCAAGAAAAGCCGAAACGGACAGAGCAAGTGAGCTTGGACAGCGGACTGCAGTCGTATGCAAAAATCGCCCAGTCCCACAAAACTGTCCAAGACAGCTCAGAGCGGAGCTGCAAGCGCCACCGGCCGCCGGGAGCCGCCATCTTGCCTACTACGACCACTTGCGGCCCGGGTTGTGAACACCTTTGCACTGCCCTAGCGCTTGAATTTTTCTTATCCAGATCAGAAGCCAGTTTTGAGTTTGGTGAGGAGCTGATACGGGCATCATGCCACATCCCAAACTGATCAATTTTGGTCCGACGCCGGGAGAGTCCTGAGAAAGTGTTGCAATTCTGCTTGAAGAATCCTTATGGCAAGCAGCAGGTAGAAGGTATGTCTTACAACATGCGCAGTGATATGAGGAACCTCAACGACGTCACAGGTCACACTCGCACCACCTGAAAGATTTTGTTGCATGTGCTCAGTGTCCCATTGTCTGGGTCCGGACTTGCCTGTGCTTTGCCGACAGCTGGGCAGCTCGAACTGTCAAGTGCTGCCCCAGCATCGACGTCTTGCACGACCCCGCTGTGTTGATCCAGCTTTGTACATTAATTACAGGCAACGCAGGCAGTGGACGCAACAAGAGTGACGTTCGTCCGCTGGCTTCACGCTGCTCGCAAGTCTTTGCAAGAGGAGACTGTGCAGTGGTGACACACAGACTGCAAGTCTTGGCAATGTGCTGCCAGGCCCCTCTTCAGAAACTGGTTTCGAAGCTTCCGCGGCTGTTTACGAGTGCGGACTCGCATGGTTCGTGGTACTGGTTCAGGTCTAGGTCAAATCTACGAAGTGCCGTCTGTCTCGTGGCCGTAGCCGCCGCTCACTTTGCCACCTGCAGGATATCAACGCTCTGTTCTCATCGGCGAAGATTGAAGCTGTAAATGAAGCCCTGGCGTCCTCACCTCACACTGCTTATCAGTGCTGGCCACATGAGAGATTAGGGCAAATGATGTGATTTGCGCTTGACTCAATTAGTCGTGGACGAGGCAAGAGGGAGGCATGCACCAGTCCAAGCAGCCGAGCATGAGAATAGGCCGGATCTTGGTTCTGCTGTTACTCTGTTCCATGCTATGGCCTAGATCTTATCTGATGAGGTCACCTGTACTCTGCACTGGAGACAGCAAAGGCACCATTGCGCGCATTTGTGACTGGGACCTTCTGTTCAGCAAGCTTTGTTCCGCGCCCATCAGAGGCCTCAATATCCGAAGCCGATGAGAGGAGATATTCTCAAATCTTCGGCCCCTACTGTCTGAGCCTCTGCTCCCTTCATCCCTTCATCTACAACAGATTTTGGCAGCTTCGCAGAAACCGGAGCAGAGGTCCTGGTGGCACCGGTCGCAGAGTTGGTATTGGGGAGGAAAGCAAAGCTGTGAAGGTTTGATCCTGAAGCGCGCTGTTGGCGCACGCTCTCTTGCTGGCATGTCAATGTCGTTTGTGCGCAGGTGGCTCTGGCATGACTCGCCGCAGCCTGGATTAGCTGATTAGCATCGGTTGCCGACAGCTTCTGCTGATCGAGCGAAACAGAAGCAGAGAGCATACATAGCTGCTACGTTATGGGGTCTTATGTTGGGGAGGAAGCAAGTGGGCATGCCGGCGTAGCTTCTCATGATTTCTCATTCGAAGCCTGGCTCGGCGATTCGGCGATTCCCACCATGTTACGACATGTAGAGAACAACTCAGCTTGCAAAGCTTGTGACAATTGGCTGGTCTTGCAGATCCTGAGTGTGGTCGGTCCATGGCCTACTTCCACCGACAACTTCCCTAGTTCATCGACTGATCGACCTAACGCACTCTTTCAGGATTTCCCGTTCCCTCTGACGTCTCTAGCATGGTATCATGGTTGCAAGTGCTTGTTGCAGCTCTTGTGGTGCTGCGCCCGCTGAGCTACACTGGGGTGGCAAGCTTAGCCGTTCTGTCATGATGCCTTGAGATGGCGCTTCTTTGAGATCTTGGCTGGACGCTCAAACCGTATCACTGTGTCAGTTTTGCATGACAGTTGACTGGTTCAAAACCTACTGTACACCGGGCATCTGGGTTTGCGTGGTTATGGTTTCTACGCGAGGAAGTTACAATTTTTGCTGGCATTCTGTTCCTTCCGCTTGCTTTCTGAATTCTGTCACCGCGGTTGGTGTTTCTTTGCATGTTCTGTGTTTGTTCTCTCAGCAGGGCTGCCGAGATTGCTTCTGCAAGTCCGGTGTAGCCGGCTTCACATACTCATACTCTCATTCATACTCATACTGGTACCCATGCTCACACTCATCCTCATACTGATACTGATACTGATACCGTACTCATGTTCATACACTACTGATAGGGGTACTAATGCTATTAGTTAATACGCTACTATTGCTATCACGACAGCCGTTGGAATTACTATTAGTATACACCAGACTATTACTCTATGCTATATCCTGTCTTGTTTTTTCTGTTTATTGTTCACTATTGACATTTTTGTATTGAAAAATGGCTAGTTGCTATTTTCTATTTACGGTCAGTAGTATTGCTATGCTGTTGATAGTGCTAGTGCGATTGCTTTTCGATTTGACCACAGCGCTACTCCCTCTACTCCCGGCATTTCAAACCACTCCCAAACGAACTCTCCCGGTATACTGGCGGGACGGCACCAATGCTTGCCCCCACGCACATATGGGATTCAGAGACACGGCCAACGATTCTTTCCCCCAAGTGCAGAGCAACCCATGCATGCCTCTCGGTGAGTTTCTCAGACTCCCTCCCTCATCCAGCCTCTCAAGTCAAAATGCTTTGTCCTCTCGCTGTATCACATAGCTGTGGCGGGAAGACAGGGCGACTAATCCTGAGGTCACATCACCTTTTCTGCCGGATGAATTGAACACCTGCGGCAAGCACGCATGCCTCCAACAGCTTCACCCACCTGGGCCTTTCCAAGCTCCTGTGCTCCACACAATCGATCCAATCCGCCTGTGCTCGTCCACCGATTGCGGTTGGCTTGTGTCTCTGAGTTTCTATGCCACGATGACAGCAGAACCTTGTTTACTCCCAGCAACAAGTGGGACCTGCGCAAGGGCCCCATTTCCGCATTTTCCGCAAGAGAGACCACGAACAAGGCCTGTCAGAGCTTACAGTTCACCCACTCGTGCAAGCGCAGGCAGCGCAGGAATCTTAAATCCGATACCTTATGCAAGCGGGTCGACATTGCCAGACCGGGATTCTGGCGTGTGTACTTGAAGGTGATGTTTCAGGCCCCCAGCCAGATCGCAAACTGATGAGAGTGGAAAGTTTGCATCTGCAAGTGACAGCGATGTGGCACTGAGCTTGTGTTGTCGTGCTGTGGGACATTTAGAAACATTATTGGCATGTATGACAGTCACTTTGAGAATCAGCAGGTGCAGTGGCCGCCTGCCCTCCCGCTGAGGACGGATGTCAGTCTAAGCAGCGGAATACTGCATGTTGAAGCTTGAAGCATGCAACTTTCGCTTGGTCTGCTGGTGCTCCAACTGCAGAGTGTTCACCCGCTGCTTGCTTGTGTAACTTATGACCCTCCTGCCCTGCGTTGGCAAGGCTTGAGGGCAGGGTTGAGGTATGCCTGGCCGTGAAGCAGGAGCTTCGTGATCCGTGCCCAGCGCTGGCACGGGATTTTGAGTCTAGGCAACTTCGCAGTCCGAAACGTTTTGACGACGGGGGGGGATGCGGCTGGAGACGCTCTGGGCCGAGCGTTCGCCGTGGACGACGCTGCCATGGACGCTGCCGTGGGTACGACGACAGCAACAAAGAGTAAAAGACCCCCCTTTTCGGATATCGTCAATTCCTAGTGACGAGGTTTTGGGTTTTCGGCTGGACCTTGTTGGCTTTGCACAGGACTCAAGGGCGCTGGATTGTGGATGCCACTGGCACTCGCGTGAAGCTCGCTTGTGTCAACTGGGCCGGTGCAGAAGTGAAGGTCAGTGGCGTACCAACTGCCCACCTTTGGGGACAGAGATTGCCCAGTGTGACAGCGATGCAGGATGGCATCGTCGGTGGCTTGCAGGCCCGAAATGTGACGAGTGTCTCGGTCCTATTCAGCGATAAGATGCAAGCCGGAAGAGGCAGGTCCAGGCAGGATCAAGCAGGGTGTAGTGCCACAATTATATTTCTGAGCACAGCGAAGGTATTGCAGCCACCTTCAAGTCAATGGGTTTCAACTGCGTCCGCTTCCCGTGGTCTGTTTGGATGGCCAGGGGCTTGGAAGTGTTGTGCGCATGGATCCCGGTGTAGCCTTGACGTGCAGGTTCAAACGAATCCACAAGTTCCAGACGACCTGGAAGAGTCTCTCCTAGCTGCGAATCCGCAGTTGATGGGATTGAGAACACTGGAGGTGCTGGATGCGGCCGCTTTGCTTGCACACGGTACGAAGCTCTGGGTCGCAGCTATTTTTTCGATGTGCTGAGGTCATTGATGCCTGTGCCAGGATCTTAACACACACGCCGTTCGTTTTCACTGGCAGAGATATCCTGCCAAGAGCATGCTTCGTTGCGACTAAGGCTTCCGTGCAACTGCTCATCTTTCTGGATAACCACGTATCAGACGGTGCAGCTGCCCCAGAATCGGAGGATGGATCCGACTGGCGTCTTCGGTGCAGGGACCTGGTGCTGCAGTGACTTTGATGGGAACGGTCTGTGGTACAACAGCCGCTGGCCAACGCGCGACTGGCTGGAGGCCGTGTTGTGCGGGCCGGTGCAGTCAAGGCACTGCCCTCATTCTGCCTGAGGCACATGTGACCCTCGCTGCCCGCTACGCCAGGAAAGTTCGCTTGTTGAGAGGTTGTGGACGACTCGCCTTTAGATTCCGGAAGGCGGCCCTGGGTTGTTGGGACCGAGTTGCGGAACGAGGCTACAGACATGTGCAAGCCTTCTGTGTCAGTCGTTGCGACACAGTTGAGTCAATTGCGGCCACGATTCTGAATGACTGAAAGGTCCGTGCGAGTGCACCCGGTGGGGCACCGCATTGGGGTGGTGGAGGACCCAACGTGCCTGCCTCAGAAGCATAAGCTTTGTGGTCTGTCAATACTGCACCTTTCAAAAATCTGTCTTGGCCGCCAACACCAGTCTCTTGAGAACATTTGCAATGCGTGCCCGCTCGTGCGAGCCTGTCTGCACGATGTTCGCCCTTGCCACAGACATGTTTTTGGCGTTTGTGTAGCACCGCAATGTGTGTCCTCGGCAGCGGCAGGTGGTCGGGGCTTGCGTAGAGGCGAAGATGGGTCGAACAGCAACTGCTTCAGGCTCCTTCCGCCTCCCAGACTCCAAGCAAAACAACGGGTCCATGAATGCATGAGGAGGTGATGTATGTATAAGGCTTTGGATGAAGGATGTGTCGAAAGTACGCGACTTCTGTTTAATCATTCGCTCACACGCGCACACACACACACACACTTACTTTTGAAAGGATACGCATTCGCGGTTGGATTGGATACTCACATCAAAGCTGAATGCGGGAACTTGTTGGTTTTTTGTCTTCGTCGTCGTTTGCCGGATAGGGGGGATACGGGTCCTGGCAAGTTGGGATAAAGGGTCCGGTCCCGGGTGCTGAGTAGTGAGGATAAGGTTTCTGTCCTCGGCAGCGAGTTGGGGATAGGGTGCAATCCCCGTTGAGGATTGGGTCCCGTCCTCAGGTTAAGGTTCATGCATGAGCGTCCTCAGGCATTTCCCCTTTACTCACACAGCTTGTTGGGCATGGTAGCGAGTAAATTCCATGGCCCCCCTGCTGCAAACATGCAATCTGACGCTACAATCGAAAAGCTGTCGCTGGGGAGTGACCTCCCTTAGCCCATGAACGAGGACCGTTGACTGACACACTGACACACACACACACAGACAGACAGACAGACAGACAGACAGAGACAAACAGACAGACAGACAGACAGACAGACAGACAGACAGCGCCCCGTTGTCAGGGGCACATGTAAGCACAGACAGTACACCTACAAAGTCCGGGGGCATCCGACAAAAGTGATGGATGCACTACTAGACTGGTCGAGTCTGGTCGAGTTGCAGAATTCAGCGTATCCACAGGACGTCGCCGTTGCATCCCAAAGTGGTGAAACAAACGTTTGCAATCAGCTTGTACATACACGGAATGGAAAATCCAACCGGAATGCTGCTCCCGCAAGGCACTAGGGCCAAGCACCATTTCGTGCACCAACATTTTTACCAAAGCAGCCTTGCTCTCACCAAGAATGCCTCGAGGCCTCACCAAAACAGGACAGAGCTGCTCACCAAGAAGCTTCACTCACCAAGAAGCTCCTGCACCAACCTCGAGCCATGGCGGCTTCCGAGTCGACCCCTGCCGAGCTGCGCGCCCAACGCCAAAGGCCAGCCATGCTGGACCCCGAGGCGCATCCAGAGACTCAGTAATCCTGGTCCA